TAGATGAGGGAGTAATAGAGCATCACCAGGGCAGGGTGAAGTACATACTGTAATATCTGATCTTAGAAAGAATGCCAACAGTTTTTGAAACTTTTTTTGATATATTTAGAATGTGTCCCTGGAAATTCAGTTTGTGGTCAATGAGAACGCCAAGGAATTTGCCATCTACTTTGTTACAAATTTGGGTATTATTTATACAGAGATTTATTTGATTTGAGGATTTATTGCCAAACAAAATATAGAAAGTTTTGTCAATGTTGAGGGTGAGTTTGTTGGCAGTTAGCCAAAGATGGACCTTATTTAACTCAGTATTCACCGACATTTAGAGGAAGGGGGTCAGGACTGGAGTAAATGAAGGTTGTGTCGTCAGCAAATAGAATTGTTTTGAGGTGTTGGGAGGCATTTGGAAGGTCATTAATGTAGATGAGAAAGAAGAGAGGGCCAAGTATGCTGCCCTGAGGAACACCATTGTTGATGGCTAGGGTGGGAGAAATTGAATTATTTCAGAAACATACTGGAGCCAGTCAGTAAGGTATAATTTGAGGTATTGCAGGGAGTGATCTCTGACTCCATAATGATGTAATTTAAGAAGAGGGTTTTGGTGGTTGACAGTGTCAAAAGCCTTACGCAGGTCCACAAATAACCCAATAGGGAACTCATTTTTATCAAGAATGTGATATTTTTTTTACCCAGAATGTGGGTAAAAAAAAAAAAAAAAAAAAAAAAATTACCTTCCCAACCGTGTTAAAGACTGTACCTCTCTCAACCAGTTTAAGATAAAAACGAAGCACTACCTAATAAATTCCCTGTAACCTACCTTACCCCTCTATTGTCAACCCATGTCTGTTTTCTTAAACAACGCTGTTTATCTACCTAATTGTATTTGTGCTGCTTTTTCAGCCATGTTTCCCCCTTTTTTATCTTTATTTTTATTTGTTCTCAACACATTTTATTCTTTATACTTAATTAGTATTAAGTTTTAGTCATTAATGTTTTTCCTGCCCGAAACGCTTTGTGTAATAGTGGCTTTAGACATTGTATGTACTACTTCCATCTATAAATCGTTCAATTTATGTAAAATCTCTTGTATGTATGTACCTTACCTGAATAAACATTCTTTTTTTTTTTAAAGAGCTGCATGTATCAAGTTAATCATACAAATAAGTGCATTGTTAGTGCTTTTTTGGGGTCTGAAGCCATATTGACAAGAGCTAAATATATTGTGTTTGGCTAGATAAGAGTAAAGCTGCTTGTAGATTAGTTTTTCAAATATTTTTGACATGTTTGGCAGGATTGACATAGGTCTGTAGTTGTTAACATCTGTGAGATCACCACATTTGTGGACTGGGGTTACTCTCACTTTTTTTTTAGAATATCTGGAAAGGTTTGGAGTTCAAGTGACTTGTTTAAGAGCAATGCAATAGCAGGGGCTAAAGATCTGGAGGCTTTTTTGTAAATTGAAGTTGGTATCTCCTCAGGGGCAGTAGACTTAGTTTTAAGGGAAAGGATTATCTCATTAACATCAGTGGAATTTGCAGGCATTAGGTACAGAGACTGTGGATAGTAAGATAGTCCTGAACATCAGTACTGGAAGATGGAATATCATTTGCAAGGGATGACCCAATGGAAAAGAAGAACCTATTGAACTCGTTAGCAGTATCAGAGGCTGTAAGCTGACCATCGTTATTGGACAAGAGTATTGGTTTGTTATTTAAAATCTTCTTTGATCCCAATATTTGTGAAATTGTGCTCCATGTTTTCTTAATGTTGCCCTTTGTTTGGGTAAATTTATCGTCATAGTATTTAGTTTTGGTTCTTCTAATTATTTTAGATAGCAATGACAAGTAATTCTTTGAAAATTCTTTGGAGACGATTCCTAACCTATACTTCTTCTCAAGGTCATGTTTTTTATTAATGGATTTAAGTATTCCCTTTGTAAGCCAAGGATTGTTTAGCCTTTTAGTTGTGACTTGTTTCGTTAGCATAGGACAGTGGGTGTTATAAAGGCTGAGTTTTTTGAAGAAAAGATTGCACTGCTAGGCTGATGTCCCCTATGTTACCTAATTCAAACTCCCAGTTGGTATTAGAAGCAGCAGCTATAAAATTGCCTATAGCAGTTTCATTGTGCAGCCTAAAGCTTATCTCCCTTGTCTCTAGAGGTGGTTTGTTAATGTTAGTTAACAGAAATGTGGGGTAATGGTCTGTAGTGCTATCGATGATTATCCCTGAAGTAAGCAGAGAGGTTATGTTGGTCCAGATGTGATCAAGAGCCGTGGCTGTACTATCAGTGATTCTAGTAGGTCTAGTGATTAAGGGTATGAGGAAGCAGAAATTCATACAGTTGAGGAAGCTGGCAGCAGTAGGGTTTTCAGGCTCGCAGAGGTCAATGTTAAAGTCCCCTGCAATAATTAGATGTTTTTTGTTCAGTCTGTTATCTAGTATTTGATTTCTAAGGTTAGAGTTGAATTTGGACACATCAGTGTTAGGAATTCTATAGACTGCTCCCACAGTCAGGACAGACTCAGCGCCCTTGACTCTGAAACTGGCGAAGATATACTCCCCACAATAGTCTCTAGTTCTAATTACTTTTAAGCATGTTAGTAGTTGGTGGTAGTAAAGAGCAGTACCACCACCTCTCTGAATTGGTCGACAGTTGTGAATTGCCGAGTAGTTTGGCATGTTAAAGAGTTGAACAGTATTCTCTTTTAACCACATTTCAGTAAGTATAATAAAAGAGAATTTGTTGTCAATAGTTTCAATCAAGGCACTAACATCATCGAAATGTTTGCTTAGAGATCTTACATTCAAGTTAATTACAGAGATATTGTGATTATGTGTTAATACATTGTTTACATCATGTGCTGTAAAATATCTGCAATTTTGATCATTAAAGTGATGATTGTCATAGATAGTGGATAAGAGGTTTAGTTCTGGGTCTGTACTTGTCTGCATAAGAAGGCTGGTTGTAGGAAAACAAGGCAAGAAAGGCAATTACAAAATAAAATTTTGATATAAAAGGGGGGGGGGGGGAAGAAATAAAAATATAAAAAAGACTATACAAGACCAACACAAAATGAAAAAAAGAAAAGAAAAATGAGGTAGATTGCTTACAAGTACTCTCAGGTACACTGAGTAATAATCCTGCCATCAGGATTATATCAATAATCTTATTATTATATATATTATATAATAATAATAAATAGATTATATAATAATAATAATCAAACCATCCTGCCCGAAACGCTACGCGTACTAGTGGCTGTACAAGAATGTAACAACTCTTGTATATATCTCAAAAAAAAAAAAAAATGCATTTTTGAGGCACAGGCAAAGCCAGTGGTACAATGGAGTAAGGAAGTATGGCAAGGCTAGGCAACCTAGGTAATAAATGAAATCAAAGAAAAAAGTTGAATAATAAACATAGGCAAATTTAATCTAATGATTATTAACTATAAATAGTTTAGTTATGTCCTCTATGTCTAATGTATGTCCTCTTAGGCAATCTTTTCCAGAACAGTCCCGTTTCATCCAAATTAAAAACTTGTGGTAGGTATCTCTCGGCCTCTGCAAACTCTCTAAATTCTTCAATAAATCTTTCAGCCGCTAGTTTGTCTGAGCTGGCAGCCTCCCCATGCCTCGCAAAACTATGGATACCACTTCTAAATTTTTCAAACCATCCCCTGCTTGCCTTAAAGTCTATCGTATCTGCACTTGTTCCAGGGGTTTTCTTCACAAGGTCTTCGTGCAATACCCTGGCTTTCTCACAAATGATGGCATCTGAAACACTATCACCTGCTAACTCCTTGTTGTGTATCCAAATTAATAACTTTTCCACTTCACAAATACTTGAGGGTCTTTGTTTCATGATTGTTCTTACGCCTTTTGCCACTTTAGCACTCATAATGTCCTTTTTCTTGCTAAGTATAGTGCATATCATTGATGTGGCTTTGTTGTACTGCCTACAAAGTTCAACAACACGTGTACCATTTTCATGCTTCCAAATGATCTCTTGTTTTTCCTCTATTGTCATCCTCACATGCACTTTCTTGCCTTGATCCTTACCACTGGCTTTCTTGGGATCCATGGCGAGATATATAATAACTTTTATGGTCAAATGGCCAAAAATCTAACAAAACACTGAACAATCATGGTGAAGAATTCAGGCGGGATAGTCACTGGGTGTGAGGCACTGCTAAACTGAGGGGAAATCGCAGTGCCACCACGCGCTAGGTCGGCCTGTACACATATCAACAGACTCACCTTCCGAGGCAACCCTCACCTTCCAAGGCAAATTTTCCGAGCAAATCCTGCTCGTATTCCGAAAAACTCGTATACAGGGACACTCGTATTCCGAGGTACCACTGTACCTGTAATTATTTTTTGTCAATTATGCTGGAAATTACCTACTTCAAATTATCTATTAGATTAAGGACCTGCCCAAGACACTATGCATTCTAGTGGCTTTACAAAAATGTATAATCATCATTGCTATGTTCTCTCTTAACCCCCCAACAATGTACCTTCTTGTATATAAATAAGTAAATAAATATATAAATGGGGAACCAAAGCTCCTGCTGGTGCTGCCATCTGGCATTGGCTTGCTGTAACTAGCAGGTTAATCCTAACTGCTGGGCAGATAGTTAGCAGAATCATCTGCAGTTTCATTTCCTTTCTCCTCTTTGAGCCTTGCAGTTGTCTGTTATGCTTCTCTTACTTTATAGATGTTTCCTTAGTGAGGGTGGTCATAATTCCCTACTGCTTGCACCTCTGTAACACGGCCAGGTTCTGGCTCTGGTCTCCAGTTGGCAACACACACTCCTAGGGCTGATGTGACACCTGTGGCGCTACCTCCTCACGGTAACTACAGGGAGTCAACGTTCGCTCCCTCCAGAAAATATATTGTTCATTATATTAAAAATGAAATTTGGATGAAAATATATACATGTTTGTAAAGTTATTATTGTAATTAAGATTCAGTTATTTTTTCCTCCTTCACATACCTTCTAGCAACAGCAGAGAAGTTAGCTTCTCGAACACCAGGTTCAACCTCTTTCAGACAAGCAATCTGCACAAAACCCTCTTCAGGAGTGCCTCCACTAAGTTCAGGAGATGTTGAGTACTAAAAGTAAGATGAGAAAAAGGTCAAACATTTTCTGTTCTCTTGTGTGGTTTCAAAATGATTTAAGTTTAAAAGATACAATTTTCCAAGTGAATACAAAAAAACCAGCATTGGATGTAATGAAATGCCAATTTCTGGGTGAGCCTCAGTGGCTCCCTGAAGCTACTATCATTAATAGTGCACCATCTACTGCTAATGCACCAGGCAAGAGCTACAAGGAGAGGTTAGAGGCATTAAATATGCCAAAACTAAAAGACACAAGAAAAAGAGGTGATATGATCACTACATACAAAATAGTAACAGGAATTGATAAAATCGATAGGGAAGATTTCCTGAGACCTGGAACTTTAAGAACAAGAGGTAATAGATTTAAACTAGCTAAACACAGATGCCGAAGAAATATAAGAAAATTCACTTTCGCAAACAGAGTGGTAGATGGTTGGAACAAGTTAGGTGAGAAGGTGGTGGAGGCCAAGACTGTCAGTAGTTTCAAAGCGTTATATGACAAAGAGTGCTGGGAAGACGGGACACCACGAGCGTAGCTCTCATCCTGTAACTACACTTTGGTAATTACACTTAGGTAATTATCTACTAGGACGAATCAACTGTGAAGTTCTATTGGCCTATCGGGAACCACCGCCAGAACTTGTCCCCTTCACAGAGGTGTAGGAAGCTGTGACTTACTTATTTATACCACCACTGGGGGACGGCAACCAGAAAGTCAGCAAAACAAAGACTACGTATGGCTTCAGTAGTAACCACAGACTCAAGAACTGCAGAAAGAACTCCCCCAGCTATGTAAACAAATTATCAAAATCTCTTGAAACTAGCACAAGCTGGTTGCCCCAACCTCTCCTATTTGTTTGTGGGTTACTAGTTCAGGCAACTGAACAAGCAAAGCACATTGTTTTGTGCGCGATGGTAAAATAATAGCTAGGAAGACTGACTCTGGAAAAACTTGTGTCATAACCACTGAGGCACACCTCACTTCTTTCCTGGATGGCTGTGGGATAACAGCTGTATAACCAGAACATAAATTGTAGTCTCATATACTACCAAAGTGTACTTAAGCTCTGCCTTTCCTTTCCAATTTTTTTTTTTTAATTTGTCATCTTTGTTGTTGACATTTGTTTTTTTACTCTTAATTATTTGGTCTTAGTTAATCCCCTTGTCACTAAACCTAGGGTTCTTTATTACCCTGTTATACTTAAAGAAACTTGGAATTTGTTTCTTAGTAATCATTTATTGGAATTAATTAATAGTATAATTGTTTATGTAAGCATCTACCTCAGTATCATAGTAAAATCTTACAGAAATATAATCGCACCCTGTTTATTTTTAAATTTAGATTTATATTAGAGTAAATTTCTAGATTTACTTAGATTTATGTCATTTTTGGGAATTAACCATTTGAGCTCGCTTTGTTTTCTTAAGTTCATACTAATTATAGGATTTTAACTAACCATTACTAAGCTAATTATATTTAAGATCATTTTACTTTATGATTATTATTTTTCTTATTTTTTTTATTTTACATTTATATTGTCAGTCTTTACTAATTTGTTTTTTCTTTTTACCTAACTTCTGTATCCTTCCTGGCTATCTACGGGATCTTTATTTTACTTCTAATTTGATACTGTTGTATGTGTATTTGCTTCTATTCTTGTGTTTAGCTATAATTACTTTGTTTTTACAGCATATTTGGTATTTAACTTTCTGTAATTGCTTGTCTTATTGTATTGTGATCCCTCTGCATTTCCATGCACACTAATATTGATCCTGATCTAAATCTTCTGTCTCATATCTACACCAACCAGCACATTGATCATCATTATTGCAAGTATTACACAGCACACCAGGCAAAAAAAACTCCAAAATAGTACCTGCTTATCAGTTTACAACCAAAATGTTAGATCACTTGGTAAACATTTTGATGGTACAAATGCATTACTCACAGCACTAGGTACTATTTATCGTTCATTATTTTAACAAACTTGGTTAAGTAAAGAATATACCCAACTCTACTACTTAGCTGGTTATAAACCCATTCACAACTGTAGGCCTAATAAAAAAAGGTGGTGGCACAGCCATATATTACCGAGATACATTTATCTGCAACAGTGTCATTAGTGATAGAGATGACTACTGTGAATATACTTTTGCTCAGTTTACAATTAAATCCCTTAAATCCTCCTTGACTATTGGAGCCATCTATAGATTTCCCAATACTAACATAGCTTCATTCTCAGATAACCTAAGGAATCTTATTATAAACAACAATCTCAACAAAAACCACATCATCCTGGGAGGAGACTTCAATATTGACCTGGGTCAACAAACTTGCTCTCAAATTGACCATTTCCTTAACAGCATGAACTTCTGTATGCTAATCCCCACAATCACCAAACCCACCCGAGTCACTCAAACATCAGCCACTACCTTGGATCACTATGGACTAACATAACAGCTCCCCTTGTATCTGGTATAATCTACGACAGAACAACTGACCAATATCCTACCTTTCTCATAGCGAACATGGACATACCACCACCAGAAAGCAAGAAACTTACATTCAGATTACACAGTGAATCAGCTATAGACAACCTTACAAATGCACTTCACAATATTAACTGGGAATCTGAATTCAATAATACTCAAGATATAAATTCATTAGCTAACCTCTTCCTCTCCAATACTCTAAACCTCTACAACACACATTATCCCCTCCTTTCCAAGCAAGTAACTGACAAAAGAATAAACAATCCATGGCTCACAAGTGGCATATTCAAATCAATCAACAAGAAACATGAATATAAAAAGAAACTTAGGATTGGCCTAGTTACAAAGGAAGTAGTTGAAAGGTACTCATCAATGTTTACCAGTATCATAAGAAAGGCAAAACTTTCATATTATGAGAATAGATTCAATGAAGCAAAAGGCAACATGAAAAGCACATGGAAAACCATCTCTGGTATCCTAGGAACTAAACAACACTCACGTAACCAAATAAAACTCTATAAGGATAGCAATACACCGTCAACTGATTTAGAAATGGCAAATGAATTTAATAGCTTCTTTTCATTGGTTGGTGCTAATCTTGCCAGAAAAATCCCACAGACTCAAGACACATATTCAAAATTCAAATGTTTATTCAGGTAAAGTACATATACAAGAGGTTATACAAAAATTGATAGATTTATAGATAGAGCTAGTACATACAATGCCTAAAGCCACTATTACGCAAAGTGTTTCGGGCAGGAAAAACATTAAAGACTAAAACTTAATACTAATTGAGATTAAAGTATAAAATGTGTCAAAATAAATAAATAAATAAATAAATGGCAGAAAAAATAAATAAATACAATAAATAAATAAATAGCGTTTTTATTTATATACAATACAGGGTATATATATAATATATTAGGTATATAGTTTTATATAAATATGATATATATAGTCTATAATATATTATATATTATATATATATATATTTATATATATATATATATATATATATATATATATAAATATATTTGTTTATGGTATGGTATATATATATACAACCTTATATATATATTTATATATATATATATATTTATATATATATAAAAAACACATGAGAGGATGTGCAGTGACTTAATATCTAACATTCAGAGATTTGAGTAGGGGTACCGAGTGATGTCTGGGGCCAGAGTTGGATATTGTCCTAATAGCAGCTTTGTGTTGAGTAATTAGAGGACGTAAATGATTTTGGGTAGTAGAACCCCAAGCACAAATACCATAGTTGAGATATGGATAGATGAGGGAGTAATAGAGCGTCACCAGGGCAGAGCGAGGTACATAATATCTGATCTTAGAAAGAATGCCAACAGTTTTTGAAACTTTTTTTTATATATTTAGAATGTGTCCCTGGAAATTCAGTTTGTGATCAATGAGAACACCAAGGAATTTGCCATCTATTTTGTTACAAATTTGGGTATTGTTTATCCTGAGATTTATTTGATTAGAGGATTTATTGCCAAACAGAATATAGAAAGTTTTGTCAATGTTGAGGGTGAGTTTGTTGGCAGTTAGCCAAAGATGGACTTTATTTAGCTCAGTATTCACTGTGACATTTAGAGCAAGGGGGTCAGGACTGGAGTAAATGAAGGTTGTGTCGTCAGCAAATAGAATTGGTTTGAGGTGTTGGGAGGCATTACTGTGTATGCTTGTAGTGCATGTTCTCTCTATTCCTTCAATTTCAGAAATCTCTCCTACTCTGAAAGGGGAGGAGAGTATTGAGTAATATTCAAGGTGAAACAGCCTAAGTGATTTGAGAAAGAGCAATGTGGTGGCATTCCTGGTTTTGACGATTCTCATAATCAACCCTATAATTTTCCTGGCTGATGTTACATTACCAGTTATGTTCAATAAACATCATGACATTTAACATCATTTCTATACCCTGTACATGTTGTTTCCAGTCTATTAGAAGAGATGGTTGAATTTTGCATCCTACATCAAGTTTTAAGATCCCTAATCTTTTTATGTCTAAACTACTGGAATTTATTACTATTGAATGTCATATATTCTGTTGCCCATTGGAAGATATTACTGATACCTGTTTCTAGTTGATACCTGTATCAATTTGTGCTGTCTAAAGTGTAACCTGATGTCTTATTCCTTCCAATATATCCTCTTTCTTGAAATTGCAAACAGAATTTTCAGCAAATGTTTCAGATGCATTTAAGTAATTAAGAGTTTTGAAGAAACATTTAAAGTACTATCAATGTTTATTAACCCTTAAACCGCACAAATCATACCTATATGATTTCAGTGACAAAACCGAAACAGCGTACATCATATATATATATATGATTTCGTATCTAGCGCTATAATTTAAACACCCCGCCTGGGATAGGGGCAGCTATAGTGCAGCCACGACCGATAGTTGCCAGATGCCACCTAGAAAAAAAATCCAGGCCAACATTCTTGAGTGTAAGAGCTTCAGTATTGAGCAA